CACCGCTGGGTCAATGCCTGGTTTGGGCTGGCCTCTAACCACAGAGGAGTGCAAGGGGCTGTGACTCTCAGGCTCTCCCCCATAGCTGCTGGAGACACGTGCTGCAGCCATGAAAGCCACCTCTGGGCCTGCACAGGGGTACAGCTGGGTTTTGCTGCCCCAGTGGGGGGACACAGCAGCCATGCGCAGGATCAGGCCCTGAGTTCTCTCTACACTCTGTGTAGGCAGAAACTGCCCTTCCCCTGTCAGCCAGAAAAAAAAAAAAGCGCCTGGAAATGCCTGATGCTCAGCAGCTCCTTTTCTGCAGGCAGGAGCAGTAATCAGAAGAGAGAAAGCTGCTGATCCCGATGGCCTCAAAACGTGCACCATCCTTTCTGCTAATGCAGGCAGCTGAGAAAGCAGGAGGAGCAGCCTTCTTTGCAGGGAGTAAGAGGACTTCAAAACCCCAGTGTGCCTGATGGAATGAGTCACTGAATGAATCTGGTGAGCACCAGCATCCCTGCTGTTCGTAGGGTCATTTGAGAGCACCATGCCCCCTCCCTGCAAGGAATTTGTTATTTCTGCACACACCACGTGAATCTGCTCCCCGCTGTCTCCTTGGCCAGCCAGGCAGCGCCACACGCACAACCATCACCTCCCCTCCTGACTGCACTTTGGCGCAGAGACGCAGCAGACAAGACATGCTTCTCCTGCAGAAGCAGCTCACCACGGAGACACAGTGCAGCACAGCCAGCAGCCCAAAGAGTTGCTCTTTAATAGCGTGGGAGCCAGCCCAGGACCCCCACAGCAAAACCAGCCGCACCAGGAGAAGCTGTCGGTCTCTGCTCACGTGCATCTGTGCCCCAATTCAGCAACAGTGCTGCTCGAGGCACCTCTTGTTGCTGCTCGGTGCTGTGCAGTAACGAGCAGCACAGAGCACCCGGCATCTCCCAGGGGTGCACCCACACACAGAAACCTGGGGAGGTGTCATGGCTTGGAAGGAGAAATGGCTTGGGAAATGGCAGAGTGTATTTATCTTACCAGGGAGGAGAGTATCTCTGCCTGCTCCTTATCTTCCTCTCTCCACCACCACAGCCCTGTTCAGCCCCAGCCCAGCATGAAAACAAGGACATTACAACCACTGCTGAAGGGAGGCTTTATAAATGGCCAAAGATAGGGGCATGAAGGCCTCCCTGGGTAGAAAATTCCTCCCAATTAAATGGCAGGAGTAGAAAGGGCATGTTTGTGAACTGCTTTGGGGTTAGAAGCAGCCCTGCAGGGGAGCATGAAATACTTGAGTCTTGTCTGAAACTGCAGGAACTGCCCCAGTGCTGGACCCTTGCAGGAACTATTTACTGCTACATCTGTTTTCCCTTTTATTTCTGGGCAAATCGTAGTGACCGCCTGGGTGCCCCAAGGGAGCAGACCCCCAGGTGAGCTAATTGCTGCAAAGGGTAATTAGCATAGGCCAAATCTTGAGGGCCAGAGGGGGAGAAACCCGTGCTGCCACCTCAAGAGAAGACCTGAGGCTGTGCAGCCCATAGGGATGCTTTAAGTCGGTAATTGCATCCTGATCACAGACACTGCAGAAGTCATCAATTCACAAGAAGAGAAATTGCTTTTAAGCAATTGCTTCTTGCTGAAAGGCACTGTGCTACAGACTTCACAAGCGCCACCCTGTGACAGCCTTACAGAAGAGGGGTTTATTTCCCTTTTGGAGTGGCAAAAGGTGACTGGAGCCACACTGCACCCCCAATAACACAGAGAGCAACGGGATGAGGCACGAGGAGGGGAGTTGCAGGCATTTCTCTTCCTGCCATGGCAGAACAGCCAAGCGGGGGCACACAGTTAACACAGAGCCATCCCTGCCACCTTCTGTGCCCCCGCTGCAAGAGTGCGGGCAGGAGCCCAGCCTGCCCCGCTCCTCCAGCCCCACCTTGGTAAACAGCCTTCCAGGATGAGCCCTCCCTTCTTTATTCGTGCTCCACCTTCAACTCACCTTTCCTGAAAACAGGCAGCCAGAGCCACATGCAGATCTTGGGAAAGGGGCTCATAAATGGATATGACCACATCCCTGTCTTACCCAATGCATCTCAGTAGTGCTGGCTCATCTCGCCACTACTGAGCCACCCAGGTCTGTCTCCTCAACACATGCCAAAGCATTTCTGGGTTTTTTTAGCAGAAGTCCCCACTTTGAGCCAAGTGCAGGCTGGGTCAAGCCCTAAGCCTCAGTCTTGCATGACCACTGCCTTGCTGTAGCGTGAAAGTTAGGCACACTGCTGGGGCTGGAAGGAGCAACCTTCCCTTGCAAGCGTGACCTGTACTGCGCTTCCCTGGGGCTTAGTGACACCGTGGCCCTGCTGCCCACAGGGCCAAGTAGCTTGAATTAGGCTCACTTGAATTACAGGAGCTGAATGCACAGCGCAGTGCTGAGCCCTGAGAGCCACCGAGTGGCCATGCCTGTTAGCTGCAGGCAGGCATTTCCATCTGGCTGGATAGAGGCATATTTGAAACTTGTAACGTGCAATTTTCAATCCTAAATCCCAAAGGCTAATAAAAAAGGGCACACACCTGCTCCCTCTTTTTGACACGTCTGTGATGCAAGGTGGCTGCAAGCTACTCTACAGCACATACAGCAAATATTCAGCACACACCAGCACACAGCACCCACACACTCCCTGTTGTCCCACAGTGGTAGGGAGCAGCAGCTCTGCTGCAGTCCTTACAGTCAAGATGAAAAGGGGAAAGATTTCCACTGACTTTGGCATAAGTGGAAACAGGGTGCAGGATAGCATAGCAGAGCCCTGAGCCAATTCATACCCTCAACGGGTCGTCTTCAGCAGATCTGACTGGTAATTGCAGGCAGCAGCAGGGCCAGCAAGGCTACCCGACAGCAAAGGCACTGCTGTCTGCCTCCGTGCTCTGCACGTGGAAAGAAAGTGCAGCCTGTGTGACAAGGCTAAGAGAGGTCACTAAGTATCCCAGTGAGCACAGTCAGGTGTGCTGGGTGCATACACCTCCACGGCTGACGTGCAATACCTGGTACTCTGAGGTTCTGTGGCCAGAACCTTCTGGTGCCACAGAGAGGAGCAGTCTGCAGCACACCACGGCAGCAGATCACAACCACACTGGCAAGATCAGTGATGCAAAGCAGATTATTCCCCAGCTTCCTTCCTTCTGAGGGAACCAGCTCCTCAGCAGCAGGATCTGAGGAATCCATGTAATCCATCCAGTTCACGGTACTGCTTCAATTTTGCTACACAGAGTAAGTACAGAATCTTAAGCTTTATTTTTCTATTGGCCAGCAACTTAAACTGGGTTAAAAAAAGCAATTAATATTATTACTCAGAGAAAAAAGTATAAAACAACTCAATGGACACAAGCCAACTTACTGCTCATACCTCATTCTTCCTGGCCTCTCCCAACCCTGTACAATGTATTTGAAGGGAATGGGCGAAGGCAGCTATGAAGATATGCTTAAGAAACTAGAAATATTGCTTCAAGCAACATGCTCAATATTTTCCTCTTAGTCAGTAGTCAATACTTGTCAGGAACTTGATTATAAAACAAGAAATAATTTAGAGATTTCTCCTTTAGATCATTACACAATAATTTAGATTTCTTTCCCCTCTTTCCTACTGCTATGGAACCAAGGATACACCTCAGTTCCTCCATCTCTCTTTCTGCATTAGTTAAGGATTATTTCATGGGGCTGATATTGATGGGGGAGTTTCAGATTGACCTGCTCTGAATTTTAACTTGTCACCCTTTAGTGCCAGTCCAAGATTTCTGTTCTGTGAACTAAAAACCCCACAATGCTGCAAGACCCTTGAGGGGTCTGTGTGGTTTTGCTTATGTTAACTGTCTGCTGCCAAGGGACGGGGCTCAGCTGGCACCACTAAAAGGCTAGGAAAGGGAATACATTTATTTGTTTATAAGAGGGCTTGTCTTCACTGCTTAGAAACACCAAAACCCCACAGCTCTTTCTGCTTCATGGGTGTAACAGGCATACCAGGAAGGTGAGAACAAGACAAGAAGCACACAAGATCCTATGAATTCAGACTAAGAGCCTGCTGGCATCATGATGGCACCAAGTACATGGCAGCAGTGATGTCTACATCCTGCATGTATCCAGGATCCCAATGCAGAGAGAATATTTAATTAAACCTATTCCTCTGCAGAAAACAGTTAACCCAGCATGACCAATTTACCAATTTACACTGGGGCAACTAGTTGAAGCTGACTCTCCTGACCTTCTTGGCAGTAACAAGTAAAGTGGGCTTCCAGATTTCATTAAAGCCAGAAAATCCTCTGCTAATCAATGTGCTTTTGGAGGCTCATAAAATACTTGTATATATTAATTTCCTGCCCAAGACAGACAAGCCTGGAGGTTTTAATTAGAAAAATCAAGCTGAGGGCATCTCTCAACATGTAAGAGATGTAAGAATGTATTTCTACTAACTGAACAGGCCAAAGGGTAGCCAGATATGCCAGCTCCAAAAACAGACCAGTTCTTCACCAAACCTCAGCAGGGTAGACGCAGGAGAAAACTTAAATTTTTCTCATACAGGAAGCCACTCAGAAAAAACACACCAGCCTCAAAAGAATTAGAAAGTTGTCCATCGTCTTTGCTCCAGAATTAGTAGGAGACAAAAGGCCTCATGTGGCTCCTAATGGCACTGTCTTGGGGGAAGCTTCAAGGAAGAGGAGGAAGGATTGCTTCCTAAGGCACCCATATCTTGGCAATATCAGAGTGATGACAAGATTTCAACTGCACTAAATTATGCTCCTGATCAGCAGGTAGAGTAGCTCCTGCCCCAAGCAACCAGGCAGGCATCCTCTCAGGCAGAGAACAGCTGTGTTAGGACATCGGTCAGTGTACGCTTTGGAGGAGGGAAAGAAATCTTCCATGTACGAGAGATTCAGCTCCGGCTCCAGCTCAGTGCAGAAACATCATCTGTCCTCACAGTCAATGCCTGGCGCTGCTGAGCCACTTCTCAGAGAGCAAACCATGGTTCTTGTACAGCATCCTGATACCTTCATGTTGGCTCAGGTAAAGCCTCAAGAGAAATGGCCCTGGATAAATCTTGCTTCGTAGTTATATCAAGGGACTGTTTTGCTAAAGCTTCTAGCAGAAGATCCATAGCTCTTTTGTTTCCTGACAACAAAGAGGACCCGAGAAACTCCTGGCTGCCTTGTACACAACAAGGAGGGTGACTTTCTCCCAGGGGGGCAGGTAAGGCGGTGCATGGTTTGAGGCGCATTTAATTACAGAGCCAAGTCCTCGGGTTACAGACACTTCTGTGGTGGTGGTGGTGGAGAGTGGTCAGGTTGGCAGGCGCTAAGGGAAGCGGCAGAGGGGGAGCAACAGAGTTCCCGCAGCTATTAATATGGTTCTGGCTTTAAACTCTTGTACAAGCAGCAGGTGAAAATCATCCCAAAGATCTACAGGGTGTAAAGAGAAGAGAGAAATGCATGAGAAAACTGAATGGATGCAAGTGGAGGCAGCAGCTTGCAAACAGCCTGGACCCAGACTGGAGTAGCAGCTAGCTCCTGCCCGGGGATACTACACTCCAGCTTGCAGTAAGCAGCAGGAGAGAACATAATCTGTGCTAATCCTCATAATTAATCACCAGCTTCTCTGGGGTGTAATTTGGCTACCTGCCAGGACAAAAGGGGAAGATGAGGAACTCCCAGAGACATCTGCATCTGGAAGAAAAGAACATCCTGTGCCCTCCCCTGTAAAATGGGAGCAGGGGGCATCCATATCCTACCCCTTTATCCACCACCCTCTCCCAAATCATTTGCAGACCCACAGTGCCATTCCTCAGTATAACACAACCAAGAAAGAACTACTGGATGACTTAAACTAATCCTAATGAACAGGGACAGGAAACTCCTGCAGTCTGGCTGTTCGGCTGCACAGGCATTCACAGCACATCCCCACAAGAGGTCTCTCTCAGGCTGCCAAACTGCCTGCCGTGGCCAGCACTGCCTTTCCCATAGCCCTGGAGCAGAAGTCTCTCTCCTTTGCCCAAGCTGGTTGCACTCCTTCACCAGAAGCAAATTTTACAGATGGGCAGAAGAGGCTTTTGCTTTGGAACTAGTGAATCCTCAGGTCCCCAAAGTACCTGGCAACTTCTTTGCTTGCCAGGCAGGGAAGAGCCTAAAACATCTGATTTTTCTCCATCCCTCAGCTCTAGGGTTCCTTTAACTTCTGCCCAGCACCCCCAAAATTCCACTCAGCACCTTTTACCTGCACGCAAGCAATGCTGATCCCCACTGCCCCGATAATTTTCAGATGCTCTTGAATGAAGTTTTCCAGCTTGGTAATGCAACCACTCTGCAGGGTGAAAGGAGGGACATGGAAAATCAGCTTCCTTTTAGCCTCTTGTTCACTTTAATCCAATGGTTGCAATCCTTGAAAGCAATGCTATAAAAAGCAGTGTCTGAGCAACCTCTTCACCCAACATCCCTGGAAAAGCTACACAGATGGTGTAAACTGCATCATGTTTTGTATTGCTCTGGACCTACAGGAACCAGTGAACAAACCCAAGGCAGCTGCTAGGTGGGCAGGAGAAATGCAGAACAACCAGCCACATCACGCAGCAGCAGTGTGTCATTTGCTGCCTAGCACATGCCTGGAAAGGGCATTTACTCCCATCAGGCCAAAAGGCCAAGGAAATGTTGCTGAGTGGATCCAGTACCAAGACATAACAGGAGCCTTTTAATAGTAAATTCCTCTTGCTGCTATTTATGACAACAGTGAGTTTCAGTGCAGACCTGGGAAGCCAAGCTCTGCCTGATTCTGCCTTGCAACTGCATCCTTGGCCAGCAGAATGACCTTTTCCCTCCTGTTTCAGGCCCCAGTTTTTGTTGTCATAAGGCAAAACTAAACCAGTAAGAGCATTCTCTGGTTTTGTTTTGTCTGGGGTTTTTTTGAAGAGTTTTCTTTAAATAATTAAATTGTTTAATCTACTGTGGCAGGTTTTCCATGGTAACATCAGGAGGATTTATTGTGTAGGCTACAGCAGTGCCCCAAGGGTGCTGGGGGTCCTCCTGCCCCAGGAGTTTACAGTGAACAGACATCTACACACACATAGGCAGAAGGAAGGAGTGAGCGTGCTGCCCTCCAGGGAGCGATGGGAAAGGCCTCACTTTTCCCATGTCAGCATTAGGTTTTAGAGTCAGCTCCAGCTGCCCTGATATGAAGCAGTTACTCCTGTTCCCACGATCTGTCACTTTTTGTAGGTTTTTGGTCCCCAAAGCTACTAAAATCCTTTCTGAACTCTGACTGAGACCTCGTATCATGATATGCAGCATCTGACTGTAGATCCAAACCTCCCCTTACAGCTTTTTCTCCTCTAGAGCTAGCCCAATACATTAGGCAGCCTACAAGGCCTCTCTTAATAATGCAGCTGGGCAGCCGCTTCCAGCTTTGCGCAGCGCAGAGAGAGGATGGGAATTGCCAGTCCTGCTCCTCAAATGGTTGTGGCTTTCCACTCTCAGAAACACATTACCAGGCCCTGGACTCTCTTCTGCACCTCCTCATTGAGTCTTGCCTGCAAGACACAAACCTTATGGGAAAGCCTTCTCCCTGAAGAGCAAAACCCAGCCAAGCAGACAGACGTAAGAGGAGCTTTGGTAGATCAGAAAGACTCCCTATTGATTCCCCAAAGATAGATGGTTGGTTTCCTTTTAGCTGTTTGAATTGCTTGGCTTAATGGCAGATGTCATTCTCACTCCTCTTTCAAGTCCTGCTCAAAGCATAGACTGTGAGAAAAAATACCTGCTTTGACAGGGCCACCTCTTCATCCACAGCCGTCCTTAACTGTGAGGGGAAAAGGAACAAGGAAAAAGCTCCCATTGTTGCTCCCCAAGTTCAATATAGCCAGCCAAGGTGCTGGTTCCACTGGTGAGAAAAAGGACTGCTACCCCATAGAGCATGTCCCAGTGAGCAAGTTAAAGCCAGGAGACAGGACTGGAGGGTGTCAAAATAAATGTAAGAACTTTTACCAGACTTACGCAAACTCAACGAATAAATGCTCTGAGAGCTACCTGTTCGCTTACTCACCTAGTCTGGGCTTCCATTTGCTTCTTCGAGAAAGAGACAAGCCTCTCTATCTCAACTCCAGCCTTCTTTTCAGCCTAAACTGCAGCCCACTGGAACTGGCCTAATATGTCTGCTGCAGGGCCGTCTTTCTTCCCCATATGCTGTTTCTTCATGCTGTAGGTCAAATCCCACTATCTCACTCAAGGACTGGAAGTATCTCCATTTGCACCTCACCAAGTAATTCCAATGACAGGAAGCTGCGTCAAATGCAGGGCTCACATCCACGTCTTCTCTTGCCAGAACCAACAACCTCTCCCACTTTCCCCTATCACTAGCATACTCTGTATTAACAAATATAATTTATTGTTCTTCTCTATATCTACATATAAAATAATAGCCTAGATGGTTGAACACTCAACTAGAGAAATGAATTCTGCTTTCTAAGGAATCCTACTGACTTTGAAGCCTACTGACAGTTTGCAGCATCAACCCAACACCCTGTCCACCTCCTTTACATACTTTCTGACAGGCAGCTCCGAAGCCCTTTTGCTCTTTACCTCCTTGTAGATGTTGGAAGGATGGTCTCTTCGGCCACACAGGTCGGTTATCGTCTTACAGCAGCTGTCTGGGACTTTTCGTCCATTGGCCTCTGGAGATTTTATCCACATGCTGTCGGCCCAGTCTGTGTAGTTGTTGCTCCCACAGCACTTGAACTGCATGCACACAGAGCAAAGACTGAGCCTGCAAGCATTGCAACCTCCTTCTCCCTCCAGCCTCCCACACCAAGCCCTGGGCTCCACCCTCTCAGAGAGACTCCAGCTACGTCCGGGCTTTTTGGAGGTTTTTAGGCTACTATAATTATTAGCGACTTTTGTGTTAAGAGTCCCCAAAATGCCCATTAAATATCAGCTTCATCCATCTTTCAGCAGCTGTGATTCTTGGTTACTACCAGGGTGAACTGTAACCGGAGCGCACCTGCAGCTGCCTCAGCTCCTGACCTCTGGACTGGAGAGTGTTAATGGTGCTAACAGGGTGAGTTTAATTACCAGTTACTATTGCAAACACACCTGCTATGGCAGTATGCGTATAGCAAGCCCCAGACTTTGAAAGTGCCCGTGCACAAGGGTCTTTTCTGTGGGAAAGCCTGTCAGAAGTGCAGCAGCCCTAACCTGAACCACTCCTGAGCCAGGCACAGCTAGCAACAGCAGCAGGAAGGCTCTTCATTCATTATATCTTACTCTCTAGGGTACTGAGGAGCTTAATGAAAAATGTCAGCAATTTCTCCAAAGCTTTGAAGGGGGAAGCAGAAACGGCTGTCAGAGTAACTCAGCAGCTCCAGTTCACTCTGGGAGTAATTCAGATGTTGTTTCCCCAGTGCTATCAGACGTGCAATTCAGAGATCACACCATGCAATTCTGCTGGTTGCATGGCCCAGGCCCCTCACCCCACCCAACCTTGTCCTGAATCAGAAACAGCAGAACATACACTCAACATACAGAAGAAACATCTGCATGTTGGATGTCAAGAGCCCACGGTGCCTTTTGCGTGTTTGATTTTAAGCCCTGCAATTGCATTAATTCTCCCTGCCTCTAGAGATACCTACCTCCTGCTGCAGTTTGTCTACAGCGCCGGTAACACTCTCTTCTCCCTCCTTCCGGTACTTCTGGGTCATGGTGTTCTTCAAATTTTGCTTCAGTTCCATGCTCAGCTGAATGGAAGAGACAAGCGGGATACAGAATCGCAAGAAAAACTCACCCCTCAGAGCAACACAGAGCGCTGCATATGTTTCATTGCCTTTGCTCCAAGAGAAAAGCAGAGAGCCTAGTGGAAGCTACAGCTTCCCTTAAGATCATCCTCCAAGGTTCGACTGGACAGGCTTGTTTCCAATTGATTACGGATTATGCCTCAATTTTAATAACTGGAAGGAGGTGCTTCAGAACCTAATTTCAACCTGTGTGACACATCACCATATGTGTCCTCACCTTGAATATTTCAGATTTCCAAGACATGCCTACATCAAAAGAGACTATAAAACTCTGCCTGCTTAAATATGAATATGCCTATGAGACCACGTGTAGTCTTCTCCCTCAGAAGCCTGTGAAAAAATACTTAAAAACCAAATCACTGTCCAGGAGCAGGAAGAAATCAGAGTCCTAGGCATGCTGGACTGAAGCCATGTAGTCTGAGTACCTCTTGTATCAGCATCAAAAAGGATGCCACTGGAGGGAATTAAGTGTGCGACTGCAAAAGTACTGCAAGGCCTTTCTTGATAATAGTGACAGAAAGAAAAAGTCTGATTTTGGAAGTACAGAATTTCTGAAAGCATCATCATAAACCACTGGCATGTTCAGGTGATTGGATTCAAACATTTATTCCTGTGGAGGCTCCTTTAATCTAGCTGAAATCTTCTCACTTATCCAGGTGACAGCCAAAAAGTGCCAAAGAGCTGCATCTTTTCTTTGTCATCCTGGCTCATACAGCAACACTGCTTTAGTCCAACACCTGTGACATTCTAAGTTTCCTATACCAATAAACAACATCAACATGCATTTTAGATGCGGTCAGTGAATGAAACAGGTGGGTAGCCTCTCTATACATCTTTTATTCTACACAGTAAGTAGTAAATGGGAGGTAAAGCATCTGGTTATGCTGCAGTCTGCAGTTTATTCTCCCTTTGAAACACTTTTTTTTCCAACCCCATGTGTCAAATGGGGACAACACCTACCTCACAGAGATGATAAGAGGCTTCATTCATTAATATTTGCAAAATGCTTTGAGATCTTGGGCTGGGAAGCTCTACAGAAGTGCAAAGGACTTAGTGTAATAAAAAGATCAGCAGCTGGAAGGCATCAGAGGCAAATAAAAGAGGGGAGGCCATTAGCAGAATTACTTGGGAGAAAAGCAGTTACCTGCAGGCTCATGGGGAAGTACTGCAGCATGGAACAGAGATAACAAAAGAAACAGTTTAGACACACACAGGCAAGCCTTGGACACCAAAGCAAGGGCTGAAATAAAAACCAGTGGCAAACAGAGCAAGCAGCCTGCAACCAGGAAAAAAGGGGGATTTGTCAGCCAGAGGGCTAGGGGAAGTGCAGCTAAAGATCAGAGATGCCCTCAAGTGAACTAAAATGCTCAAGGGTACAGCTTCAAATACATTGTCCCTTATATGAACCTAAGGATCAGCTCCTCTTCAATCATTGTCATATATAAACCTTTGCATGGGTGGATGGAGCTCGGCTTCTTGCCATACCTGCCAGGATTGATCTTTCCCTGTTAAATATGCACACTCATGCCACTGATCCCTCCTGATAGGAGCCAGTACGGTTCTTTGGCCCCTTGCAAACCGTCAGCACCTGTCTTAGTGAGGCAAAGCACAGAAGGCCCAAGAGAAAAAGGAATGGCAAGGAATCCTGGCAGTGAAGCCAACAAGATGGGATGTCCAGCTGCTTTTCAGACAGCTACTTGACAACAATCCTAATTTGCCATTTCCAATCAATTTCCAGACATGAGAGCAGCTTCCCAGGCTGCTTCTGTCTTGGTGGCTACACTCCCTCTGAAAACAAAGTGATGACTTAAGCCTCTGCTCTCTGCAACTGCAAGAAGTGCCAAGCTAGAACTGCAGCTGTTGGGAGCCTGTGCTGTTCTCCAGTCCCTCAGCTGGGCTGGCTAAGTAAAGCTCTCAAAAACTTCTTGACTTGAAAGGACCTCTCAGCTGGACCATTCATCATCTTCGCCAGTTCAGAATGCAGCTAGCTTGCTGGATGCAGCAGGAACTGTGCCTATATCCTGAATATAGTAAGTGGCACTAATGTGATTTCAGTTGCTTGCACTATGCCTTGAAGGGTATTAGGAGAGTTCCTAGATCTACACAGCCTCAAAAATTGTCTTCTACAAGGCTCTGCAGAAAAACAGAGCCCAAAAGCAAACCACAGGAAGGAGCTGAGCAGCAAGGCTGAGTAGTCTCCCTAGAGTAACCACCACCATCTTGTAGACAACAGTAAGTAATCCAAGGTCTTCTGTATGGGGAGAGGAGTGAGTACGGACATGTGGAAATGTGAACCACAACCAGACCCTAGGTCCCAAGCCTCCAAGCCCAATTCTGGCTGGAGAAATGGGATGATAACCAGCTGTTTACTCTCCCTGGTTTGAGTCTCTAAGGACTAATGTCCACTCACCTGCTGGTAGTAGATATAGGCCAGGATTCCAGCAATGATCTCCAGGAGAAAGATGCACAGCAACAATATGAAGTACTGTAAAATAATGGGAATAGCAGGACATTAGAACAGAATGTAAGGAGATGCCAGGACACAGCTTTTCATTAGCTGGTAAAATGCATGACTCTTGTCTCCATCAATGCTTTTCTGCAGCAGTGTTCAAAGGCAGGGGCTGAGATTAAGACCTCAACAGGGTAGGAAAGGAACAATTCCACAGGTTAAAACAAACAAAGAAACAAAAAAACCCCACAGGATAACTGAAGACAAGTAGCAGCATGTGTGAGTTTGACTCATAGAACCAGAGGGATGTAGAGAATGGAAAAGTGCAGGCAACTGAGATAAGATCACTGGACAGAAGAAAGTCGTTGCTGGATAACTTCGTAACTACACTCATTATCACAGAAAACATTTGATTCTGACATCAATAAAAAAATTGAAACTTTTGCATGTTTTGATATTGTTTAGGGCATTTCACCAAGTTACTAAGGAGCAATGTATGTTATAATGATGATTCAATAGAGTAACAAAAGGCCCGTTTCACCAAGAATATATCAGACCACCTAAGCATAAACCACAGATTTATGTTCCCAGTGACTTCTGCGGGGCTCAGCCACAGGCTGAAGGGCATTATAGAAGCAGATGGCCCTATAGAAGCAGATGGCCTTTAGCATTGATTCACACTCAAGACTGTGACTATATGTTCTGCTGAACTAGGACCTAGAGGGAAAAGCTCAGTATCTCAAAACCAAAGCGAGAAGAGCTCTTAGAAGACTAAGAGGAGAACATGACTATTTCTTAACAGGGCTTAATGGCAGTGAAATGGAAAGGGATGTGCCTTGCTTATGACAAGGAGAATCAAATGGCCGGTACAGAAAACTGTTTGGGAGCACTGTTCCTATACACAAATAGGAAGGGAAGCCAACCTATCAGGAGGAACATGTGTATTAGATTAAAGGGACTGGGCAGGCCTGAAGACAGAGGGTGATGTGGGGACTTCCTCAGAGTCAGAGAACCCCTGTCCTGACACACACCTCCTGCCTTACTCCTGGTCAGCAATGAACAGTTTCTTTACAGATCCAGGCTGTTTTATGATGGCTACCAAAATCATCTTTCTGTAGATAAAGCTGAAGAGACAGCAGTTCCAGCCATAACAAGGACCTCATGCTAAGTCCCTGTAAGAGTTGGTGTCCCCAGAACAGAACAAACAAAGTATCTCCCATTTTCTGTTTTACCCCGGAGCTTAAGAAACGTCTGTTCCCAAGGGACAAATGTAACTGGACATCAAACCATCTCTCCCTGGCACAAAGGAGGACAGCGAATACTTGGACACAGCAAGCTGACTTACACAGCATGGATGCCTTTTGTTGCACAAGGGTTACACTCCCACTGTACACCCTCCTTCGCTAGGTATTTCCAAGCCCCTTTGCAGGAGTAAAGCGACACAAACACTCAGGCTTCCTCTTTCACTCCTGTTGGGATTCAGCAGCTGTGAGGGATGGACAGCTGGGGTTTATCTGCAGACCAGGCTTTAATCTGAGCACACAATCTCAAGCTTTCACTCCCCAGCCCCACACTTCTCCCCCGGCAGCCGAGGCAGCCGAACACTGACAGTCTCTGCAGACGCCTGTACAAGGTACCCATTCATACCAGGGAAATGAGTCACCCAGCAGGGTTCGGGATCACTAAAGGCTGGTCCCAACACTCCCAGGAGGTTGAAAGGGGGCAAGAAAGGACTGGCATGCCTTGACACAAAGGCTAGTTTTCTTTTGTTGGGACCTAGTTATGCCCTAACTGCTCTGACATCATCTCTCTGCCAAGGAGGGGGCAGAAGGGTGGCTGGATGCTGAGAACAACCAAAAGAACTGAAAAGTTACAAGGCCCTCGTAAAACCTGTGAGGGAGGTTAGTGCATCTGCCACCCATGCATCCAACCTGTCTCTGCTGATACACTGCATCATTACCCTTATCTCAGTCTCATCATTCCCTCAGGGCTACTTCCAAGTATCACGCTGAAATAGGGGAGCAGCAGCTTTCACTCACACATAGAGCACAGGGCTGCTCTTCTTGCTCTTCATCAGGAATTGCAGAGCTTTCTTACACAGATCTGTGCCGCGAGGAGCAGGCCAGCTGCGGCATGGAGCTGCGGGGACATGCCCTGCTCACTTCCCAAGAGGCTGCAGAACAAGTCAGAAATGTGGGATCACTCAAAGGCCTGTAGTAGACACATGCCTGGACCTGGGTGGGCACTGAGCAAAATTTACTCTTACTCTGGCTGGTCAGGGCTGCCTGGATCTCCTCAAGATCTACATGGTCCAGATTTCTTCCACCCAGCTTCAAGTGCTTGAGTGAAGTGTCAAGCTTTAGTGTGTTTTCTCTGAATAACTCACAGAATGGTTCAACCTGCCTACAATCCAAATAACTCTCTGGAGAGATCTTTCCACTACATGAAGAAGAGATATATAGCAACTGCACTCCTAAATCAGCAATCTCACTTGAGTGGGAGGGCTCCAGGAACAGAAATGATAACCAACGCGTTTCCCTTCTCCCTATCCAAGGTAGCTAACTGTAAGTGGCAGTATGAGGGGCCGAGACTGAAGAAAGCCACCTTCTTTCTTTATATGCAAGGTCTTCTGTTTGATGGGTCCTTTCCTGAGACTCCTGCTGGCACAGTTTTGTATATGAAAGCATGCGTCTTGACTGAAGTACAATATACTAGTGGTTTGTGTGCTTGTAAAGAGCTGGACTGCAGCATCGCGGCCAGCCAGGCTGCAGATCCACTGCCACGCTGGCTCACGGAGCCAGAGAAACTCCACATCTTCAGCACATCAGCTGGCTAAGGAGAGACACAAGGAAGGCAAATAAGCAATGACATAAAAAAAAGTAGCACAGCTGTGAGTGATGAGCAATGAAATACTATAAAAAGCCTTGAAGTGGGTCCATAACACTCACAGTTAGGTAGAAAGGCAGCAAAAAATTCACAGCTTCCTGAGTCTTCAGCAGAAGAACAAACTAAAAACCAGATATGTATTTTACAAAGAGCACCCAAAGCTGTCAATAATTGATTTTTAAAAGCACCAAGGAGGCACTGGGGAGAGAAGAGAGTGCGGCTAACAGCACTCCCTCCTATATTTCCCTGGGCCTCTGGTACAGATAGAAATTGGGACAGGCTGGCACAGACCCCGGTGCATTGACTGTGAAGCTGTCAGGATTACTGTCTGAGCTCAGAGCTGGCAAAGGCCCCCAGCCAGGCTCACCCAGCCCTGGCAAGCACAGCCCTATCTCTTGTGCAGATTACTCACCGGCAACCAAAGCAGAGCACAAGCTCGAAGAGACAATAGGCCTGTCGCGACCAGCCACTCTGAAAGGACGTGTGGTGTAAGGACACAGAATGACCTTTTGTTCCCAAGGGACAATTATTAGTTTTCTGTGGCAGAATAACAAAGACAACCCCACCGGATTTTTATCCGTAGCTTCTGGCTGAGGCAGAAAGACAAAGGGCGATCTCTTTGGCATGGAAAGTAAGTGAAGCAAGGCCAAAACGGACTGCTACAGACCACAAGCCTAATGAACAAGCACCAGCAATGCACCCGCTGTGTCCTCCTCTGTGTTTTACTCTCCGTTCCTGGCCCTACTCTGCCTCTCACAGGGATTACCAGGCCTTCAAAGCAGTGTTCCTAGCATCAGGCTTGCTCATGACTCCCATTTCTGCTACTCTATCCAAACAAAAGAGGGGAAATGAGACAGTCAGGTGAATGAGAATTTGCAAAGGAAGGAGCTGGTGAAGAGTTGCCAAAGTATCATTTTCTGTAACTGTGAAAGCAAAGAGCAACTGATTAGTATTTCAGTCACTGCGCTCACCACTGTAGCCCAGATACCAAAAAGGACTGCTGCCACACTCCAGATTGAAAGCGAGATTTGAGAGGGAGGAAGTGGAATAGAAACCTTAGGGCTAGTCAAAAACTTCAGTGTAGGTGGGTGAGCAGGGAGCTCAGGAAGTAACATGAGGAAAGGTGTAAAAGAAGCAGCAGATTATCAAAACAATGTGGCTTTTTTATGGAAGTAAAATGAAAATTTTTTTGCAACTAGAGAAAACACTCATTGGAAATGTTCTGATTCTCAAGAATCAAGTGAAAAAGTGTGTTAATTTGGCTTGAACCTAGTGTCATTAAAAGCCAGTTTTATTACAGGTCTCTTGCATCTTCCTCTTTCTTCCCACTTTCCAAAAGAAAATATGGGATGGGCAGGGAAGAAGGAAGAGACAAAAGCCATGAGATTTTGTTTTGAATAGTTTCAAACAGACATTCTTACACAAAGTATAGGTATTATGACTATACTTGGTACTTTTGAACAATGCATTGGTAAGCACATTCTTTGGGTTGATGAAAGGAAATGCTCTGCAGTAGACCTGCCACCTAGGACAAGGACAGCACTGCTGTTAGGAGCTGGAAGCTTTAGTGGTATTTGCTCTAGGACAAACAAATAAGGTTGGTGTAGAACACAGACAAGGTGTTTCCCTCCCTCCATGTATGGTGCAAGATAAAACAGGGTGAATCCTCCCCCAAACAAATCAACCAAGCACAACTT